ATTTCATTTGATAAAACACGTTTAGATTGAATGGTAATTTATAATCAGTCACAAGAACGTCGAATCTGAATCACTTGAAAAAAACATGGGGGTGCTTAACTTTTTTCCAGGTGTATATAATTTACATAACATACTTTTACAGTTATCGTCCTGGAAAGGATGACTTTTATGATAATATAATTATTTAAGCCTCTAAATAATTTACAATAATTTAACATACAATCTTACTGTTTCACTTCATAAGTATATATATATGTATTCCATGTTTCACTAGTTATAAAGTTTTGGTTTCAAACATAGTCTTATGCTAACGATCTCTGTATGTAGTTCTGCTATAAGTGCTGTTTACCATCCATGTACTTTTTTGTCATTGATTATTTTGTTGTAAAAAGAGCTTACTATTCATTTTGTGTCTGGTCTTTTTCTTCATTCAAGTTACAGGAAGAGAGTTCAGTATAACTCTGTGTTATGTTAACTGAGGTTTCTCAAGCTATTACTTTAATAAATGCACCTAAGAATACCACATTCATAACTAAGCGATGTGGAGCAAACCAACTATTAGGGTGTACAAAAATAATTCATTAGCGTGTACAGGGTGTAATAGAAATCTGGTACCATAGAGAAATTACTTTTCACACGATTTGCTCATGTGTTTCTCCTGGAGCCTCGTTTCCATATGGAGCCAGACTCTCTGGTGTAGGTTGAAAAATTGCAGGTACTTATCATACATAATGTATTAATGATATCTAAAAAGTTGGATAGTATGGTCAAAACGAAAAGTCATTGATCCATTAACACTTTATAAGAACATTGTTTTTTTATTAAATTATGTATAGATTTTATTGTACATGTAATTTAACCAAAAATAGATGACATTTGTAAAAAGTTTCTGACATACATAAAAAGTGGAAAATTCAGTTAATGCTCACAATTATTCAATGGCCAGAAAACTGGGTTTGTAGAAAATACTTGTTAATGATTTTAATGAAAAGTATGCATTTAATGTAATTCTACTAAAAACGTATAATATATGTCTGTGAATTTAATCATGTGATCAGTGTAATGATGTAAATAAGAAATCAGCATAAACTTGGAATACAGGGTTTAAAGCAGGGCTGGATTTAAGTGATGGCAACCACATTTTCCCATGCCTATATTGCTGAAGAGCAGAGTTCATAAATATTTTTAGATCACTTGTTCAAAGTTGTAAATTTATTTCACTTTCCCCGTGATCACGCTAAGTCCTGGCGTCTTTTATTAGATACAAACATGCAAGAAAATGGTGAATGAGACAAACAGAAACAAAAATGAAAAACTTAATGGTGCAGCAAAATAAAAGGAAGAGCAAGGGTTTAAATCACTTAGATAGTTTGGTTGTGCAACATAAATTGCAGCATTATTTTAAAACTGTAATATTTATATTCGAAATTAAGTAACTTGTACAGTGTCACAAGAGGACATTCAAAGACTATAATAAAGAACTAATTCCCACTTAGGCGTGGGGGAGTCTGTATTTGTTCCTTATCCTGGAGCCCATAATACCTAAATCCAGTCCTATTATAAAGAGAAAAAGTAAATAGTTTGATTATTTAAAACACCCATCAAAACAGCAAACTTCTCTTTTTCTGGTTAGTCCAAACTATTTAAACTTAGTAGTGCAAGTAGGCTTAGCATAAATTCAATCTGAAATGAGTGTCATAACTGTTGACTTTAACAGCATCAGTCTGTCACTCATTCTCTAGGAATTTACGTATTTTAGTTTTGTAAAATGATATATAAAATCCATTATGTAAATCAAGATTGGTTGCAATAAATCCTGTTATACCATTGTAAGGTGCAAGTTTCATGGCATCATTTATTTTTGAGACAACAACTGTGTGTTTTAGTACAATGATCTCCTTTCTGCTTACAAAGGGCACTGAGGAACATCTCATTTAGAGTTTCGAGTTGCTTTGGCTGAAGGCTGAAGGGACGGGATATTCGGCGTCCTCCATCTTTAAATTGAATAAAAAAGCAACAGTATGAGTGGTAATCAATATAAAGTCTGCAACTATTAAATAAATCATTTTTACTCTATATGTAATGTAATACAATAAAACCTTGCTGTTTCACGTATCAATGGAAATATATACAGTATTGGAAAGGTTATAAAAATGCACAGGAATCACAAACAATGAGGAATTACAACTGAATGTCCAGTTACATTGGTAAAATACATTATTACAGAAAATTAAATAAGACGTACAGTGCATAGTATTTTTGTATTTGCTTTAAATTGAACAGCATACCTTGGTTTGAAGCTATCATAAATTTATCTATGCAGAATTGTGAAATATTGGACTGTAATTCAACCATATTGTTTGTTTACTATTTGCCCTTCTCTTTGCTATATAAGTCCATACAACCTTAAAAATATTCGTATATAGACTTTGTATGATTGTGAGTAATTGTTTGTGGTAATTGTCTTGGTGAAAGATGAATCCTTGTGCAATAGATCTTGTTCCTGATGAAATGACACGATGAATAAGAATCTGATTGTACATGTCAGCAGTCAGGGTACCATACATTTTGTGATTTCCCTTATCATTAGTTAAGATGCAGCCTAAACTTTTGTTCCTCAGCATGCTTCACTGTATATGTTGATTATTGACCGCGATACCAGTCTCCTCTCTGCCTTTGAACAAATTATAACAAATAATTTGGATTCATCTGTAAAAATCCCCCTCCTCCAGATTTACTCATCCAACTGTTTGAATCTTATGCCCTTTTCAGCCTTTTGGCTATCTTCTCTAACCAGTGCTCTTGAACAGCTACAGATCTACTGAGGTCAGTTCTTGCTAACATATATTTTACCATTGGAGAGAGAACTTTCATGCCTATAGTTACAGGCGTGGTTAAACTCCTGGAAAATAGTTAGTGGGCTGTACAAGGTTACCCAAAAAGGAGATAAAATGGAAAAATTAAATCTCTCTGGAACTAATGTTTAAGAGAAAACAGTGAATATAAGAGTGTGAAAAATCGTATCAAAAATAGTGTGTGAATGACGTCAACTCACAAGGCTGAGACTACTTAAAAGTAGGCCATTGGCAAGATATCTACTGGATTATCGTATATCACGTAAAAAGCATAGCCTGAGTTACTTAACATCAAATTCTAGGCTTTATACCACGACCACTTTTATTATCAAAACCACCACTTTTATGTGTCCTCTTTAGGGTTTCATACAGCTCCAAACTGAAATTAACATTTCTCCTCAATTTATCATATGGAACAAAACTTTGATTTATACACGTTCGTCATGCTGCGTTTCGGTCCTGGGAACTATGAGTGCATTCACCTCACTTCTACCAGAAATTTTATGACTGTATATATTTTTATAGTTTTTACGCTGGTGTGGCACTGTCTGATTGGGTGAAATAAAGCCAGTCACAACGTAAACTATCAAAAACATAAGTGAAGTTCATTTTCATACAATAGAAGGAGGAGCAATCCCATATTATTTGCATTTCATACCTATATTATTCACTGTTTCCATAATTTGATAGTTTTTAACCACATCTTGAAAAAAAAAACAAATAAAAATGGTGATGCTGCTTGATTAAGTTTTTGGCTAGAAAATGAAGTGTTGTTTAATAAGTTCTGATGTTTTCAATTGACTATATAAAAATAGTTTTATATTGAAAATTTTATTTTTCTATTATCAGCAGTCACAAAGTACTATCTAGTTTTGCACTGTTAATGACACAAATACATGATAATGGAATTACGGAAGTTAGAAAATTAGTCTAAGGTTGTTTCTGTTACACAGATGTTATTGTAAAACGTGAAGATCAGCACAATTTTGCTTCAGATGTATATAATATTTGTGAATGTAGAAATTTCACACTTGTTTATATTTTAATGGAGTAGAACTAAAACATATTTTACAGAATCCAAAACAAAACTTATGATATACAGTTCTTAAGGAAATGAAGTTACGTGAGTAATAATGTTGTGACTTGTTCTTTCGTTTTTAGATTACTTGGTTAAAAGTAATGCAAAGTCAAATTCACTTAACGTTAACGAATTAATATCCTTCTTCAGTAACGTTCTATACAGGTTACACTCACTGGTAGGGCCTGACTTCACAACAATGTTTTGACAGAAATTCCAAGACTAAAGGTATATCTAATTCACAAATAAACCTTGCCAAAATATTCTAACTAATATATTGATAATTAACAAGATGACTGACTAACTAACTCAATCACCGACTCACTAATTTCTATTCTATTTATCAATTACCTTAATTCAGTAAGTCTGTATTTTTATTTTGTACTAGTTTCTACAAACTACAAGAACCTTCGAGATTCCACAGAGACCTAAACTTTCATGAAACTTCTGGACCTCATTACCTCACGCAAAAAAATCACCCTAGCGAAAAAACACTAAACCAATAAAAATATAGCTCACAATAATATTATAAAGGGCATTTCTTAAAGTACTGTTGTTACGTGTACTATCATTGAGCAGATTTTTGGATTATTTGGTAAATGTAATCTCAATCCACGAAACAAAACGAATTAATTTCTTTCTTCGATAGTGTTTGCTACAGGCTACGTTCACTGATAGGTCTAACGACATAAATAACATTTCACCTATCTCACAAATAAACTTACTTGCAGAATTTCATCGCTAATCCATCGATAACAAACACGTTAACTAAATCATTGATTATGTAAACAATTGAATCACAGACGAACGGACTCTTAGTGTCCAACTCCTTTTCCTGACCTGAATCACTCATTAAATCAGTAATTCACAGATTCTTGCACTTTTATACAGCTTAGTTTTTTATATAATTCATGACTCTCCTAGATTCTACTGAGGACTTAACTTTCATGAAATTTCTAGTTCGTGTATCATCATGACATGTTCTTCTTGCAAAAAGACATTTAAATTAAAATATTAAAAATATCGTTTTTCAACTGGACCAATTTTTCAGATAACTCAGCTAATACAAAACCTGATACAGCCTGAAACTTGCAGTCAATGTGCTTTGTGGTAGGCACACTGACACTTAGTGAAAGTTAACATAGAGAAAATGCCACTTTTCAAATCTACATTAGTTAAACTCAATGATATATATATTCAGCCTAACAAATGTTATTAAACTGTAGGATTCCTCACCACTTAATCGTTGTCTTGTAACCAACTGCGGTTCTTTAGATAACACAACGGGTTCTTCACCACCGTAATATAATCCGGTGAATCCCAGAAAAGGACTTACAACTTTTGCTACAAGAGACTCCAACTTCAGTTTATTTTTGCATGGAGGATATTGATCCTTGACGTTCTACGAAATGTAACCAAAATAATTGCACACTTATACAAATATTCTAAGTTTATAGCTTTTGAAAAACGTTAAAATGGCTTTATTGTTGTTTCTGAGATATAAAAGGCTACGATTCTTAAATGAATAAAAAGTACATACAATATTGTGAACAACTTCTTTCGAGACTAATTAGTATCTATTTATTCTTTTTAGTATCTATTTACATATAATTTTTAATGATCGGAATATATTGCGTGATTAAAAAAGGTATATCACTTTTAAATTATAGTAAGAAAGGGATCTGAATTAGTTTCGAGTCTTGAAATATATGTATTCAATAACTTTTAAAATCAAACATTTGGTTGTCGTAAACAGAAGCTTCAAGAATGCGTGAATTGTTTCCTAAACCACAGTACTGCCAAGTGAAAGTTTTAACGATTTGTATCTTGTTTTATGTTGCCTTATCGGTGTCAAACATCCTGAAATATGTTATTTTATAGTCTAGGTCTCCTACCGCTGTCAGTGGTCAGTTGCTTGACAGCTGCGTGGTAAAGTCGCGATCTAATATCAATAACAATTAAAGTCTCAAATTTTCCACAGCGTCTATGTAAACGAAATTGAAACATATGTGGCGGCATCTGTTGACAATATGCTGAAATTGCAAGTTAACATTAGATATATCACGAGTCTTACATTTATCTACTATACATTGTTTTCTGTCTATTGAGTCTTAGTGGTCAGGTAAAACAGCTGTATGTATGACGGCATTAGGTTTGTGAAGTACTAAAACATTTCGTGAATTTCATAAAATGGCGTCTAAAGTGACGAGCCCTTCTGATATGCATATATATGGATAAAGAAACTACTGTACACGCTTCAGTTACATGTACTGGAATCCAATTATTAGAAAAATCACAAGTTTATCACTGCTGCCATCAATTCTTGCTTTTGGTCGTTCAAAAGAGCTGTATATGTCAAAACAAGAATTAACGAGCTAGCCAGCCAGTAATGAGTAAGGACAGCTATGTGTAAAACGGGTGAAAACGATGAACCGTCTTTGCTTTATTTCAACTTGCATTTATTGATTTTTCATAAAGTTTGATTATATACACTATATTTATATATGATATTTATGTATATTATATATATTAATAGCCGGTTGGTGGTAAACTTCTAACTGCCAACAGGTGGGGTTGTTTGAGAATAGAAGGAGTAAGAATACAGAATGGATAATTACGAACGCAAAACTAAAAACCTCAAAAAACAAAGGAACTATTCTCTATAACCTTACACAGTAATATGTTATGTAGCACCAACTCTAAAATAGATTCGAATTTGACCACGTTTCTTTTTCAGAACAGCCTTGAAATTCTATCACTATATAACACGGTGATAAAATATGACTCTTTAACGTGGTAATATTTACCAAGAAACTTATTGAGTAAAGAGTAATTAACACCTGGTGTTATTCCCGTGTTAGAGTTTCCCAAGCAACTAAGAAGGCAATATATTTTACACTAGTAATATAGCATTATTTATTTGCTCTAAAACGAGTACGAATATACTTTTATTACTGAATTTGAATTTAAGAATTACATTTTAATCCAGCTACAGAACTACAGAATATTAGCCAATAAAAGCATGTATATTTTGTAGAAAATTTGCATAGATTATAAACTCTTACCTGTAATATTAAAAGCATGTGTTTTATTCCAGGTGGGATAATATCTGCTGCTGAGTAGATAGCACCTGAAAGCAGATATAGATGTACCGTTCATGAGTAATGAATCTGAGTGTATTAGCTCAGAGTATTTAATAAGCTTTCTAACTAACTAATATCAGATAACAATAGCTTTGGTAGAAAAGCGTCCATAGCTAACTAAGCCTGGCACTATGAACAGAATTGTTAGGGGTTACTTCTGATCAATATATATCATACAAAGTATATACAACTTACCCCTGATGGCGGAAATGACAGTTCAGAAGTCGGTAAAAGATCGCTTCTTTCGCATTAGTTTGACATTTTTAATATTATGACTAATTTATATTACAATGACTTAATGCCTATTCATTCTGTAGAATCTTGACTCCATTTTACCGCGCTCTACTTGACGGGAGGAACGTAAGAGTCCCAACTTCGAACTGTTGTCACATGTAAGGATATAAAATTATATGTCTAATTTCTTATTACATATTTGTTTCCTATCCTACAAGAACATGGGTCAAATAAACACTCTTCGCTTTCAGAAAAGAAAATCCCATAATCATACGTGTAAAAAAGCACTTTCAAACAACTTGTAATTTGTGATTTTTTTCCGAATATTTACAAAAAAAATTGACACCCTTCTAATTCTTCTGCTCGTACCACACTTATATTGATAATTTTTTGTTTATGTCTTGACAATACGTTTGCGTGAGAAATAGAAATACTGCTTGGCATAGAATTTGAACTCCAGCACCATGGCCATTTGAGAGTAAGTTTGTTTGTCGAATTTCGTGCAAAGCTTCTCGAGGGTTTTTGTTTGTTTGTTGTTAAGCACAGAGCTACACAATGGGCAACCCGTGCTCTGTCCAACACGGATATCGAAACTCAGTTATTAGCGTTATAAGCCTACAGGCATGGCCAGGTGGTTACGGAACTCGACTCGAAATCTGTGGGTCGCGGGTTCGAATCCTTGTCCCACCAAACGTGCTCGCCCTTCCAGCTGTGTGGGCGATATAATGTGACGGTCAATCCCACTATTCGTTGGTAAAAGAGTTGGCGGTGGGTGGTGATAACTAGCTGCCTTCTCTCTAGTCTTTCACTGCTAACTTAGGGACGGCTAGCGCAGATAGCCCTCGTGTAGCTTTGCACGAAATTCATAACGAATAAACAAAGCCTACAGGCTTTTCACTGGAGGCTCTACTCGAGAGATATGTGCGCTAGTTGTCCTAATTTTGAAGAGGGAAGGCAGTGTTTCAACAATAACACCTACCGTCAACTCTTGACAAACTGAATAGTGGTATTTCACTTCTCACGGGTGGTTCAAGACTTAATTGAAGCTAAATAACAATTGTATGTAGAACTTAAAAATTATAATATTATATTACTCTACGTAACGAGTGTATTATAGTTTGAAAACACGAAGAGTTCGGTTAAAACTTTAGGATCGGCTCGGTGATTGGACCAACTGCTGTTATGGCCAGTTCGCCCCTAGGGCTAAGATTTCTGCTTCGAGCAGGCCATTTCAAGACATTTAAAATATTATTTTGTTTATTTGCATTTGGAAGTTCGCGCAAAGCTGCATAAGGGTTACCTTCACTATCGGTTCTTAATTTTGAAGTTATAGATTAGAGAAAGATAATCATCTCCAACCCTTGGCCTACTCTAATCGAATAGTAGGGTTTGACCGTCACTCTTTCAACACACCCACTGTCCGAAAGTGTCCGGCAGAAGGATGTGAACCATTGACTCTTAGATCCACAATCCGGCACATTAAATATTAGACCCAAGTCCGGTTCTAATTTTACTTTGAAATCAGTCTGTGGTCCTACGTACTTCTAGACAGGGAGTATTATAGTCTAGTTATTAACATATTTTTGCTACCTCCCCCCCCCCCAAGAAAACTAACAAAATAAAAACTGTCATAGCCCCTGAAATGTCGACTAGAGAGAGGTAATAATTGCCAACCCTGATGAGGTTAAGATAAGAAGTGCAGAATTTGAACTCAGAATGAACACCAAAAAGACAAAGACGATTATAGTAAGCAGGAAACATCAAAACATGGAAAGGATAAACATCATAGTCTGTCTGAAACAGGTGTTGAGATTCAAATATTGAGGTCAAATCATTATGGCGGATGTGACACAGAGATAAGAAGACGAATAGAAATTGCAAGAAATATCTTTTGTAAAATGAGAGATGTCTCGGCAGCATAAAGCATTAACATTGAAACATAGAAGAGACTAGCTAGCTGCAATGTACTGTCTATTTTTATATATACTGGTGTAACGTGGACAATCAACAAGAATATGGAATCAAAGATCAATGCATTTGAAATGTGGATGTTCAGAAAGATGCTGAGAATATCTTACAAAGACAGAGTCACCGATGAAGAGGTACTTAGTAGGATCAAAGCTAGAAGAACATTACTTAATACATTCAAACAACGAAAGTGTAGATATTATGGTCATGTGGTCAGAAAGCAGACAATACAGAGAATGTTATTGGAGGGCAAGACCAAAGGAAAGAGACAAAGGGGAAGACCATGAATGTTTTGGATGAAAGACTAATGTGAATGGGGACAATGCAGGATGGGTCAGAGCGACACAGGAAAGGAAGACATGGCACACCATGATGGTGAACCTTGTGTAAGAGGATGCCAACTACAAACAGACGTATAGAAGCGCAAATGTTTTACTGTGAAGTTCTAAATGTCGATAAGTTATTCTATGACTAATAAAATGTTTTGTTTGTTGTTCTTTGTCTGAAGTTACACAATAGGCTCTCTACATTCTGTCCACCGAGGGGGAATCGATCCCAGGACTTTTGCGTTGTAACTCCGTAAAACCTTACCGCTGACCCACCGATAGACCATAAATTGTGAATGTCTCAGAATTAAGACTATTTCATGTATCGATTTTTTGCACTATCAAAAGTCTGTAAATCCTCTTTACTCAAACTAACGTAATTCATAATGTTTTGCAATCTAGTATATACTTGAACAGTACTAATCTACTTATCTGGTGCTCTCTGAGCCTACACTCACCGAGTTGTTGTTTAGGCAGTGTCACAAGTTAGAAGGGTGTCCAGATAATTTGGCAGGGCAACGTAAACTCTCAATAAAGTGCATTTGTGCTATGCTATATTCATTTGATACTAAACATAAAATTACTCTTTCTATAGAAGTGTTTCTAAAATGTCGGTTTTGAAGTGCAATCAAAGTGTTTCATCCGCTAGGAATTCCTTAAACTAATAATAAGCTTTTGTGGATTTGAATTTATATTATTATCACCTGTTGGCACCGTGATTACTGGTAATTAAACCAGATTTTGCATGCTAAGGAAATAAAAGTTTAACTTAAAGTTTTAAAGAAATAATGAAAACGGCTGTTCGTACCAATATAAAATATTTAATTGTACTTACAGTTTACGAGATTTATATACTTCTGATTTATGAGGGGAGTTTCTCCAATATCCCTGGGCAGTTAAAGGTCGTTGAACATACAAGACTGTTTAGTGTAGTTAGTGTAGGTGTTATTATTTAATTCATTATGTGAGTCAATATTTAATGATTATTTAGTTTTTCATAACAAGAGAGTTAAAAGTTAATCATTTTAAAGGCGATAGTTATGACAAGTTTGGTTACGTAACTCGGGAAGAGTCATACCCTGTGTTTGCAAATACATTGTTGTCTAGGCTTTTCTAATATTGTTGACGCCACGTTACTCGAATCTTCAGTATTTTTCTCGTTACCTTAACTGAGTATTGAAATCAGCGCCGTTCGCGCACTTTACAGAAAGTTCCAGGCCTCAGTAATCAACATATAAGTAAAGGTGACCAAACTAGTGCAAGTCAAGTGTGGTTCAGTCAGAAAGTTAGCGAAAGAAAACGTAAAGTTAGCCAGCGTGTGAGTGATTAGCTTTAACAGGTGATATCTTAAAGTGAGTTTCACAGTTTAATAGAGATAAGAAGAAGAATTTGTCTTGTCAAAGATTTTTCTAAAATAACTGAACCCGTCTGTGTGGACTTTGACGAAAAGGAGACAAATATTAGAAGTTCAGGATACAGCTGTGGTAACCCACGGGGTAACGTAAGTGAATTATTCACTTATACTATTGTGATAAGAGCAGAGAAAAATAGTGTGTCTTATCAATTGTATTCTAAAGTAGTTGAATCAGCCTAAGTGGACTTTGACAAGAAAATATAATTGTTTAGAGTTTGAGATACAACTGTGAAATCCATATTGTAAGGAATTTTTTGTACATACGTTTAACTTGTTTTGAATATATTATTTCAAAACAAGTGGAGTATGTGCTAACCGTTTATTGTTCAAATTTATCGCCAATAAGTCACAGACACCTACTGTAGAAGAATCCTCAGCCCACAAACATACATAAAACCCTGACAACAGTAATACTACAATGTTATATCTTTGAAGATGAATACATATCTGCCTGAAACAACAAGTAGCATGTTGCTGGGTAGAAGAACCTCGCAATTTCCCCTGAGAATGTATTTGTGTAGATTAACGTCTTGTGTTTATCTCTTGTGTTTGTAACGTATGTTAAACTTTATCAGAGATTGCGAGTCGAGCGCCCTAACCACCTGGCCATGCCGAGCCTAACAGTACTGATTAAAATGTTTAGTATATATAATAGACTTACCTTTATTGCATTATTTATTATATATATATTTTTTTTCATTATGAGGATTATTTTGCATTGTTAACTAAGTATATGGATTTGGGCCTTACCCAAATCTTTTAAACTGGCCAAAACTCGTGAAATATTTTTGGGATGACGGTCGAAAATATTAGTAACAGCAACACTATCCAACTGACGAATCAATACCCAACTGATAAATCAATACATTCTGATCAGCACAAGTTTTTGTTATATGACAATGCATGCTCCTAGTTACACCGGTATATTAAATTAGCTACTTTAATTACCGGCTAATTTTTTAGTTCGGATGTATATAGGTAACTTGTTTTGATAATTTGTTGTTGAAAGTTAACAAGGATGAAAAATGTTTTTAAATATTATTGCTTAATGTAGAAACACATTATTTTTCTAAATAATCTGATCTTTTGTTGCAGAAGTTGCTAATATACGGCGCTCCCAAAAAGTGTAATGTAGTTCAATGCTTTAAAATACAAATATTTCCTACACCAAGAGTGCAGACGATTAAATAGTTCTGATGATATACAAATATAAAACTGTACACAAGATTCCGTATTTGATGTACCCCCTGTGGGACAGCGGTAAGTCTATGGACTTACAACACTAAATTTCGGGCTTTGCTTTAAAACAAACAAACCGTATTTGACACAAAGTATAGTTACACTAGTGTATGGCATCACTATACATATTGTTTACTGTTTAACATTGTTATAAAATAGTCCGTGTACGTCATGAGTATAAACTGCATAATGTTGAATTCCATGTGTGTAACAGCACCTTTCAAACTGTTTATTTTATTACTGTATGATTAGGAATAAAATATCTATTAATAACTAACGCTTTGTTTAAGAGTGTATATAATGCTGTTACAGTAGGCTGTAATAATGGATCACCCGGTAATCGTCCACTGCTATTCATAGTAAAATAATTGAAACCTTTTAAGTTCTGGAATAACATCAGCAGAATATTTTTCAAATAAGATGTCAAAGAACAAAATCGTTATACTGATATCATGATCCAAATCCTTACAAAATAACTGATACGTTTCGATGAAGACTACGTGTAACATTCGTCCTCTGAAACAGAGACGAGCATTCCTTACCTGCAGTATCAAGCTTCAAAACCACCAGGTCTCGGAACGAGATAAGAGCCGTTTGCCTGATTGTTAAATGCTCCCTAGTCTGCAATATAGATTCATGATAGTTTAATACATAAATGAGTCTTCCATAAAAGAAAGTGGTGGTAAATAAATAATAAATAAAGATTTCAATTCATTTCTCTTTAGTATAGGTAAATAACTATCTTAATTTTAAAAGATTGAATAACTTTTCCGTTAAAAAAATAATCTTTTCTGTTAAAAGATAGATAACTCTTCCATTCAAAAAGGCAAACAACTGTTCTATTGACAAAGCTAATAATCCTTCCATCGGTTGGTGAGTATTGGAAAATTCCCCTTTGTTAACTACCAGTCAGTTTCATTCGATTAAAATTTATATCTGGAAGAAAATGAATTAATCGAACCGGTCCTTTAATTCGAACCTGTTTCTTAGGAGTGTAACAGAACAAATGACTTGATAGCTCAAAGGGAGTTTCCGGTAAGAGGAGGATATGTTAGTAAAGTTACACTTATATTTAAAATAAGCTCACAATTTGAAAATATTAAGAGAAGATCAATTCTTAACTTCATATCAGTCTAAAGCCTATTTATCATAATAAAGTTTCGGCTTTAGCTGAACAATTATACCTAGCAGACATTGTGCTACGTTAATTGCGTTTCCAGGTCTTGTTGGTACGTAGAACCCACGTATGTCTTTTCACACACACAAAAAAAAGAAAACCTGTAAACTGCACTGTATCTTTAAGATGAAATATTTTAAATAAATTTCAAAATGTATTATTTAAATTGCATATGTCTGGGTAAACTCTGCCTCAGAAATAGTTTAACTTTCTGTTTTACAAATACAAATGTTCCTGTATGGCAAGGCTATATCTTGGGAACAGGAAACTGCAATATTTGAGGGAAGTAGTTTTATTCATTTCTAACCATGTATCAATACTTCTGACTTGTATACAATGAACAAGTATAGCGGCAGTAAGTAAAGACCTTCGTTCTAATCGTAGTATTTTTCTTATAGCAAAGCCACATCGGGCTATCTGCTGTGTACTCAGTAGGCCTCCTTCGGCCAGGTTTGACCATGGATGAGCATCCGTCCATTGTTAGCTCATGTTGATCGCTCGTCTAGAGCAGCGTCTCTTGTGACTAAGGAGACCGACACGAGAGTGGCAGAGGTCACATATGTGTGTTGACGCTGGTCTGTTGGCTGCCTGTTCCTTTTGATGCGCTCGCTTCTCTTCTGCCGCCACCGTCAATTCCTCTTTACCGATCTTCAGCTGTTTACGGAGAGTGTTTCTCCAGTCGGCGCGATCGGCAGCTATGTCCTCCCAAGTTTCGGTGTTGATGTCGAGTACCTTCATGTCTCTTTTGCAAATATCCTTGTATCTCAGCTGCGGGCGGCCGATGCTTCTCTGTCCTTCGGCAAGCTCTCCGTAGAGGATGTCTTTTGGGATTCGGCCATCCTTCATACGACGCACGTGGCCTATCCAGCGCAACCGGCGCTGTCGTAACAGAGTGTACATAGTAGATTGGTTCGTACGAGACAAGATATCGGTGTTAGTTACCTTGTCTTGCCAAGAGATACCAAGTATGCGTCGCAGGCTTCTGAGGTGGAAGGTATTCAGTCTTTTCTCTTGGCTGGCATAAGTAGTCCACGTCTCGCTGCCATATAGAAGGGTGCTGAGGATACAGGCGCTGTACACAGGCATCTGCTGTGTACACCGAAGAGAATCGAACCCCTGATTTTAGTGTTGTAAATCCGAAGACTTACCACTGTCCCACCGGGTGACTAAGCTCAGCATCACAGGTATACTTTAACAGTGGTGACATAAGGGTGACTTCTATACAATGAACAAGTAGAGTGGTAGGACCAGTTAAGTTTATAGCAACTTAAAGGTTTATATCTGACTCACGTATAACAAACAATAATCATGTAAGGGTTTACGTCTGACTTCTATATAACATATATAGTCACAGTATATAAGAAAGAAGTTGGTTTTAATGTTCGACAGAGTTCGTCCATATAAGGAAGTTTGTTGTATATCTAAATCTATGGCAAAAACAAACATTTCTTCTATTATAAAAATTAATAATAAAATATCGTGGAAATGTTCTGTTTGGGCAGAGAAATATGCGACTTCTACCACTAGATGGCAGTCGACTCGTATGAAACAATATTATCATGAGCTATCTGCAGTCTGTCCACTGGGGGAATAGAATCTCGGATTTGAGCGTTGTAAGATATTAAAGTTACCTCCGACTCACCGAGAGACTATGAAATAACATGCTCATGAGAAATGAGAACTTATCAAGCACTGTATACCATGCCTTAACGACGTGTAACGCGGCTATCTCTAGTGAAAACTTTATTATAATTGAGATGAGAATGAACATTTGTGAATGTTTGACATTTCAAAACTAACTTCGACATGAACAAACAAAATTCGGCGACACTACTTATATCCATGCTACAAGATGTTCACGTGTATTTTGTCTGTATAATGAACTAGTTTAACAGTAGCAAAATAGGGGTTTACTTCTGAGTGAGTCCTATATAATGAGTTAACATAACAGTAGAGAATAAGTGTTCACTTCTGATAACTAAATAATAAGCTAGCATAACAGAGATAAAATTAGAGTTTACTCTTAGAAACTATATAGTAAGCTAGCATAACAGGGGGAAAATTAGAGCTTCTTCTAGAAACTATATAATAAGCTAGCATAACAGGGGGAAAATTAGTGCTTCTTCTAGAAACTATATAGTAAGCTAGTATAATAAAGGAGAAATTAGAGTTTCTTCTAGAAACTATATAATAAGCTAGCATAACAGGGGGAAAATTAGAGCTTCTTCTAGAAACTATATAGTAAGCTAGCATAATAAAGGAGAAATTAGAGTTTCTTCTAGAAACTATATAATAAGCTAGCATAACAGGGGGAAAATTAGGATTTACTTCTGATAAATATATAATTAGATAAGATAAAAGTAGCAAAATTAGGGCTTACTTCTGATAACTATATAATTAGCTAGAAAAACAGCAGCAAAATTAGGGTTTATTTCTGACTCCTATATAATAAACTAGATAATAGTAGCAAAATAAGGGTTTACGCTTAACTTTTACATAATAATGTATTTTAACAGAAGCAGCATAAGAGTCTACTTCTGACTCTTCTTTAATAAACTAGCATACCAGTAACTAATCATTTCTGTATAATGAGCTAAGATAACACTATCAAAATATGGATTTACTTTTGACTTCTATATCATAAACTAGCATAACATTAGCAACATAAGAGTTTAATTAGCACGAGAAGGGTTTACTTCTGACTTCTATGTAATGAATTAGGGCAACAGTAACAACATATGGATTTATTTCTGATTTTGATATAATAAATTATCATAGCAATTAGCACGAAGAGGGTTTACTTCTGACTTCTATATAATGATTTAAAATATATGTAGCACCATAGAAATTCAGTTCTAACTTTCACTTAACAACTACCATAGTAATAGCATCACTCCAGGAAGTAATTTAATAATACCTTTACGTGAACCATACAGGCGTCCAGCAGTGGAAGAATCTTATAAAAGAAATCTTCCCAGGTTTCTTCCATGAGCTTCAGTAAGTTTCCTCCTGTAATACCATATTGAAAACATCAAGTGTTACTCAGAATGTTAACATTGTATTGAAAAGATAATTTTGGTTGTAACAGGAAATCATACAATATATATTGTATTGGATTTCTCTACGATAACACTTCATATAAGTTTAATTTAAAACTGATTTAACTTTAAGCCCCTTACCATGAAACTACATTCAAAGATCACGTGCTACTAATACAATTCTAAGACGAAAGAAAAAAAACCGTTAAACTTATTTTATTGTCAATGACGATAGAAGTGCTACGCATTTATCAGAATTTTTACTTCACTCAAGGACAATAAAACCGTAACACATTCTCACCCACAACGTTTTGCCTGATATCCTCTCTCAGGATTATCATACCTTTCGTCAGTAACTGCTTCTACAAAGGTCAGAAAAGAAACATTTTCATAACTGGCTAGGAAAAAAAATGTACATTATATCAAGTGAAAACGTTATATATATATTTATTAGTATTGATAAGTTTAGTTTAATGTGATATTATTATTAGTATCATATCCACGCAGTTATCAAGAGTTGTCTAACAGGAGTTACTGATATATAGTTGCATATCTGTTTCTTTTGTATGCTGGAATATTAAGGACATCAGTCCACGTTTTATGTTGAACTAGTGTTTGTTTTGTACACTTAACATCTATATATCTGAGACATAATTACCTCATTACACACTTCTATATATCTGAGACATAATTTTCTCATTACACACTTCTATATATCTGAGACATAATTATCTCATTACACACTTCTATATATCTGAGACATAATTATCTCATTACACACTTCTATATATCTGAGACATAATTATCTCATTACACACTTCTATATATCTGAGACATAATTTTCTCATTACACACTTCTATATATCGGAGACATAATTATCTCATTACACACTTCTATATATCTGAGACATCATTTTCTCATTACACACTTCTATATATCTGAGACATAATTATCTCATTACACGTACAGTGAACAGTAACTACTCCTGATATTCGGCTACTCACTAATGGTATTTCACTTTTTCGTGTATTCTCTAGAAGTTGTGTTGATGAGGATGGAAAATTTTTTTCCAAACAACCACAAATATTCCTTTCAAACAGTGTGTCAGTTATTTCATGAATATTATTGGACAACCACAAATATTCCTTTTAAACAATGTTATTTATATCTCCAGAAACATTCAGAACACACAGGCTGGCTGTTTTGTCTATGACTATTTCAAGGTAAGAAATTGTAAGTATTATGTTGCTTTCTTCAAATTACTCTGACAAAATTAACTATCTAATAAGAAAATTTGCTGTTGTTGTTGTCTATTTGTAAATCTTTCTACAAAGCTGTTTTTCATGCAAAGTTACACCTTGACGAGAATGGATATAACTTGGAACTACAGTTTTCAACTGGTTATTAGAACGAAATATGTTACCCAGTGTGAGAAGATACATCTATCACGTCATAATTCGATATAAGATAACCCACGTTACCTTAAAATATTGTGATATTACGAAAACATTCTTCAATGCATTTTTACTGTGTTATTAAAAACATCATATGACAAAATTGCTGGATTCATTGGATGGAATTTGCTTCAAATTACATTCATGAAATAACTGACACATTGTTTGAAAGGAATATTTGTGGTTGTCTAATTACATTCATGAAATAACTGGCACACTGTTTGAAATTATGCACAAAGCTACACAATGGGCTATCTTTGCTCTGCCCACCACGGGTATCGAACCCCGGTTTCTAGCGTTGTAAATCCGCAGACATACTGTTGTGCCACTGGGGAGCTGAAATAACTGACACATTGTTTGAAAGGAATATTTGTGGTTGTCCAATAACATTCATGAAATAACTGACACATTCTTTGAAAGGAATATTTGTGGTTGTTCAATTACATTCATGAAATAACTGACACATTGCAAGTTACTCGAAGGGAAAAAATAAGGTTAATTAATAACAAACGTTTCTTTCCTAATTTCAAAAAAAAATAATTCAAATTTTCCCCCATAAAATGACTTAACGTTACCACAAATTTGTTTGTCATATTTGTGAATAAAAAACAAAAACAAACAAAAGAACCGTGAATCACTTCCAAATTGAAAAAATATTTGAGCTGTCCAGGACAAACCTCCATAACGAAGGAAAAAACTAAAAATGTATGTGTTTATGCGTTAACTACAAGGGTTAGTTTGTTTTTTAGCTTATTTGCAAACTTAATGCAAAGGAAAACATATTGCTAATTTCTTATATTTCATTTCAAATGTACAAAAAAAAAATCAATCTGGCCTTAGATAATAAATGTATTTTAATAATTCCGGAAATAACTGAAAGGCCTTGATACTTCTTGCTTCTTAACAACTTGCCCCCAGTGGTTTAAACGTAACACTGAATGTTTATAATGTTAAAGACTGGGTTTTGATACTCGTGGTGGGCACAGCACAGATAGTCCATAGTGTAGTAGCTTCATTGCCATTCGAGATACGTCTTGTAAACACATGCCCAAATTTTTACAAGAACAATGTGGTCATCACGTGGTAAAATTTCCAATTTTAGACTAACACTTTGATTATAATATGAGTGGTTTAGAGTAAGAGCTGTTGGTTTTTCTTGTTTCTTACTCACCCCGAGCTTTAATGGGTACTTCATGTTTAACTTCCAAAGAATGTACTGTTGAAGTTGAATTATGTTTTCTTGAAATTATGCGTTCTTTCTCCTTTTACACTTTAACTTTCCTATTTACAGTTTCCAAGAGAGTAATTTGATCCCAAATCGCACGTGTTTTGTATACGAAAAGTAAAGTACTACTGCTACGAAGTCCATCATTCTTCGTCTGTTATAAAAATCTTTAATACCGCCGTTACAAGCCCCACGTCCACTCCAGATTTTGTCAATATTTAAATGACAGTTTTGTCTTCTTTTTTTCTATGTTATGTTACTATATCTTAACGTTGCAAATTTTATCACAATATTTCTCAAAATCAAAACCATTCGGTTTATAAATCAATCAAATCGGAGTGAATGTGGTTTTTATGAAGATAAACAATGGCTCATTCATTAGACATCTGTATTTCTTCTTAACCACTTCGCTAAAAGAAATCTTGCGTCAATAAAAATAATGCAGAGGACTGAGTGACGTTAGAATAGTGACCAGTTCACAGTTGTAAGAGATTTATTTCGTGTTAAGAACTTACTAAATTATCTGGTATTTTTCATGTACTGAAATACACGGCATACTCAAACTTCACGATTTCTCAGTTACACTAGAAAAACAACAACAAAAAACTCGTGTACATTCAACATTTCAAAAAAAATTATAAAAAGTACAATAGTTAAAAATTAATAAATGTGTTTGTGTGAATACACGACATTTCTCACACAGTGCAGACAGAATAAACATATCGTATTATTACGTAGTAAATACACAGCATTACAGTGCAAATAGAAGAACATACTCTATTATTACGTAGTAAATACACGACATTACTTACACAGTGCAAATAGAAGAACACATTCTATTATTACGTTGTAAATACACGACGTTACTTACACACTGCAAATAGAAGAACATATTCTATTATTACGTTGTAAATACACGACGTTACTTACACAGTGCGAATAGAAAAACATACTCTATCATTACGTTGTAAATACACGACATTACTTACACAGTGTCGATAGAACAAACATACCGTATCATTACGTTGTAAATACACAGCATTACATACACAGTGCAAACAGAAGAACATACTCTATTATTACATTGTAAATACACTGTATTACATACACAGTGCAGACAGAACGAACGTACCGTATTATTACATTATAAATACACGACATTACATACACAGTGCAAACAAAATGAGCATTCTCTATTATTACGTTTTAAATACACGACATTACTTACACAATGTAGATAAAACAATCATGCCGTATTATTACGTTGTAATTACACGTAATTACACACAAAGTGCAGACAGAACGAACATACCGTATTATTACGTTGTAAATACATAGTGTTACATACACAATGAAGACAGAACGAACATACCGTATTATTACGTTGTAAATACATAGTGTTACATACACAATGAAGACAGAACGAACATACCGTATTATT